ATTTCAAAACTTTTCTTTTTTTCATTTTTTTTACATATTTGAAAGACAAAGGTTTCGTTCATATTATTCACATTCTTATTTTGATAAAACGCTAACATTCTTATTTTGATAAAACGCAAAAGTCGCACCAAATAACTAAATGTTTTCAATAACTTTTTTATTAACATTATAATTTCTAATATAATTTTAGAAGTTGATGACTATGTATGCCATATTTTTTATGGAATATATCTCAATCTACTGCATTGTTATCAACTAACCTTCCTTAACTTCTAATTTTCGACGCCCCTAAATATTGTGCATTTGATGATGGATTCCGCAGTAACGACAGAAAAAGTTTTTGAACTAATCGCATGAACATCAATTTTCACGATGATAGAAAACTAAATGGATCAAAATTAGAACTGTTTGTCGAATCACCACATCACTAAATTATTCGTTTTAATTCGCTAGTGGTAGGAAATTTTTAAAAAAATCATCCTTTTATTCAAAATTATGTTTAAAACATTTTTCTAATTTTATGTCATTTTGTACAAAACCTTTCAAAAAAAGTAAAATCGTATATTAATCTGTAACAGTTGTTTATTTTTCAGACTGTAAAAAAAAACACCAATAACTAATTAACCACACTGGTATAATAGGTTCACAAGTTCTGAAGATTTTTAAGATCATACTTTTAGGGATCATTTCTATAGTATGCATCGCCTGGACGTCAGTCAAAACTGACTATAACACCAAAACCAGGATGACGAGTCGTAGCACCTACTCCTGAGCGTGAGACTCAAATGCACGTCTGCTTGCTCCCACGATGGGAGCTCAGACGTTCATTTAACGAGGATCGTTCCTGTCCGACCTAGTGTCAGACTCGAGGGAGCTGGTGCCTGCTGACTGGTTCTTTTTTAAACTAAGTTAATTTCAAAATTTTTTTTATTTTTTTTTTTAAATGATGATCATTCAATTTAACTACATTCAATCAATGAACGACTTTAAATGTTGTGTCTCTTGAATTTTACTATAACTGTTACAGTAAAAACTTGGTTTGAATAATTGAAAGCATCATTATCATTAATTTTAATGAGCAAAGATAACTATTTTGATCAAATAATAAATTTTTTGATGCACCCCTGAATAGTTTACTTTAAATCGCTAGTACTTGAAAATTCAAAACAAATTATCGCAAACATCATTTTTTCAAAAAAATAAAACTATTTTACAAGGAATTAGATTTTTATAAACTATCATTTTTTTACATACAAAAACCCAATATACTGCATTATTAACAACAAATTTTCCTTAACTTAATTTAAAAAATATTTTCAATCCTAATGTTTGCTATAAAATCAATCAAATTCAATGTAAACTATATTGTAATTATCAACATTTCTAAATAATGTGCATATGATGAAGTATTCCACAGTAACATGCCGTAACGACAAAAATTGTTTTTCAATAATTAAGCGCGTCACCATCAATTTTCATGATGAGGGATAACTAAATTGGATCACAGTTAAAACTGTTTGTCGCATCGCCACATTACTAAATTGTTCATTTTAATTCGCTAATGGTAGGAAATTTTAAACAAATTATATTTTAAAAATTGTAGTAATTTTATATTATTTTGTACTTTTTTCTGCAAAACTTGTCAAAAAAAGTAAAATAATATATTAATTTTTAAGAGTTATTTATTTATTTTTCAGACTATAAAAAAAACACCACTAACTAATTAACCACACTGGTATAATAGGTTCACAAGTTTAGATGGTTTTTAAGATCATACTTTTAGGGATCATTTCTATAGTATGCATCGCCTGGACGTCAGTCAAAACTGACTATAACACTAAAACCAGGATGACGAGTCGTAGCACCTACTCCTGAGCGTGAGACTCAAATGCACGTCTGCCTGCTCCCTCAATGGGATCTCGGACGTTCGTTTAACGAGGATCGTTCCTGTCCGACCTAGTGTCAGACTCGAGGGAGCTGGTGCCTGCTGACTGGTTCTTTTTAATTAAATTAATTACAAAACTTTTCATTTTCCATTTTTTTTACGTAAATTTATTTGTCATTTAAGAAAATAACAAAATTGTATTCATTACATTTTTGAAAATGTGTTTATGAATCAAACAAAAATTAAACACATTTATCGAAGTTAAAGAAAAATATGTAATGTGCCTTTTACATTTATCACAGAACACGATTTTTATAACTGTTTTTTGCTTTTTTAACTTTATCTTCTCACATATTTTTTTACAATATGGAATTGCCATGTTTTCATTGCCAAAGGTTTTATTTACGTATATTACATCTAATCAAATTGTTTACCAAAAAAGTACTATAAATTCATGAAACATGCGTGCACATTTTAATTTTTTATCCTACGTGATCTTTAAAAATCACTCAAAAATCAATCAAATACTATTATTTTTTTTGTTACAGACGTTAGATCGAGATAAAAATAACTAATAGTTAGCAATTGCTAAACATGCATTGAGGAATGAACCGCTTGTAAAATAATTAGATGGTAAAAGGTAATTAAAATGGTTGCAAATTGATTTATGGGCATGTTACGGCTATATGGCACATTTACAAGCAGATCGGTAGCTATATAAACAACGCAGAAGCGAGATTGGGGAAAATAAGAACGAAGAAGATGACAAAACAAAGAGAACTAGAAGTGAGATTCGATGCGAATTCGTAAATGTGATTATTTGAACAAATTTCTTGTTTCTATTACTGCTGGTTTTGAGATAAACATTCAACTTAGTTTGCTTTTAAATTTTGAACCTACGGATAAACGAACTCATAACTATTGTTGGAAACAACAACACGGTGTTGCAGATTTAGAGAGTATTGAAAATATAAAATTAGTGTTGGTTGTTACGAGGTCGAAGAAGTTACGACACTGGTGTCAGAAGTGGGATCTTCAGAAGATTACAACATTGGGATCAAAAGTAAGATTCTTTATAGCTAGAAACTCACTGCAGTAAAGAATGCCAGGGCTAGAAAAACTCAATATATATAATCAGTCTGACGAGAGAAGCTTAATTATTGATGATTGGTCTTATTCTGTGATTTACCGGTTGATTAGTTATTGTGCTGTATTCTAACGATTTTCTCAATTGAATAAACGACTGATTAATTACAGCAATATTTACAAGTGATTGCTAGCACTCTTTTCTTTCTGACAAAGTTGATAAAAAACAAGTCTATTCAGGATTCAGGAATCCACGTAGAGAGAAATAACAAAACCATACAAGACCAAAGGGTCGGTTATATAACATTATATATAACATTTTTTGAAAGACAAAGGTATCATTCATATTATTCACATTCATATTTTGATAAAACGCAAAAACGCCCCAAATAACTAAATATTCATCAATATTAACGCTATTATAATTTTAGAAGTTGATGACTATGTACCTAAGGCATATTTCTCACGGAATATTACTCAATCTACCGCATTATTATCATCCAACCTTCTTAAACTCAATTTAAAAAATATTTTCAATCCCAACATTTGCTATAAATCAATTGAATTCATTGTATGCTATATTCTAATTTTCGACGTCTCTATACAATGTACATTTGATGAAGTATTCCTAAGCAACATGTCGTAACGACAGAAAAAGTTTTTGAACTAATCGCATGACCATCAATTTTCATGATGATAGAAATCTAATTGGATCAAAATTAGAACTGTTTGTTGCATCACCACATCACTAAATTTTTCGTTTTAATTCGCTAGTGGAAGGAAATTTTTAAAAAAATCATCTTTTTATTCGAAATTATATATAAAACTATTTTCTAATTTTATGTCGTTTTGTACAAAACCTTTCAAAAAAAGTAAAATCGTATATTAATCTGTAACAGTTATTTATTTTTTAGACTGTAAAAAACACCCCTAACTAATTAACCACACTGGTATAATAGGTTCACAAGTTTAGAAGGTTTTTAAGATCATACTTTTAGGGATCATTTCTATAGTATGCATCGCCTGGACGTCAGTCAAAACTGACTATAACACTAAAACCAGGATGACGAGTCGTAGCAACTGCTCCTGAGCGTGAGACTTAAATGCACGTCTGCTTGATCCCTCAATGAGATCTCAGATGTTCGTTTAACGAGGATCGTTCCTGTCCGACCTAGTGTCAGACTCGAGGGAGCTGGTGCTTGCTGACTGGTTCTTTTTTCAACTAAATTTATTCAAAAACTTTTATTTTTTCATACTTCTTTAATTGCGGTCCACAATCATTCATTTCTGAAACATTTTTGTAATATACCAATTTTTTTAGTTATATATGTAATTAACACAACCAAATATCTACTTACTAGCGTTATAACGAACATGATTGTTAAAATTGCCGACTACTGTGTTAAATAATAATTATAGATCACGTTTATTATGGCTTATCAATGTACGCAAAAAATACATGCAAAATCGCATGAAACAATTTGTGGTCTTTTTTCCGACTTATTAAAAATGCTCACAATAAGCCTCCTAAATTTGCCACTGGTGCCGTCGATGTTTTTCCAAATTTGAGTACATGGTATCCTTCAATGTTTGTTGCCAAAATGTTTTCAGTCCGTATTTTTGCAAACTTATGCAAAGAATTTGTTTTAATTCTGCCTCCTCCGTACCCGACAACTTTTGCCTAATAAAACTCGAATAAAAAAATATTTTGGCACATTTAATATAGGTTTAACTCTATTGGGCGAATTACAGAAATACCAACAAATGCCTCATATTAATTAAAAACTAATTGAATATTTAAACACAATTTCCAGGCGTATATCATAGAACCATTTGATTAAAAAATATTCACGTCAACAATTTAGAAAAGTTGTATAGAAAGAACTGTTTCACTTAAGTTAACAAACCAACAGTTGACACCGCGCTGTTGCACACGTTAAAAGACGCACCACTGTTTTGAAAGATATAAACGGTTGCCGAGCGCGTTTTGTTTGTTCGTGGAAGATGCACTGAGTAGAAACGAATCGAAATACAAAAATTTGAACCGTTAATTCATCGAAAAGTTTATAAATGTTTCATGTCAGTTCAAATCTTAAAAATGAATTCCACCTAACAGTCTTTTAATCAAGATGCAAGTAACAATGATAAACATAAAATAAACAAATAATGAAATTATAAATATTAATTACAATTATAATTTACGACCCTTAGCTTAAGTGACATTTTTAAAAAAAATGTCAAATTCAATGTCGGAATAATGTAAAGTCTAAATTAAATGTCAAGCGACAGATGGAACATAATTGGAGCATAACCTGTCAAATTCACTTTCCTGCAAAATATTCGTTCAATGGCATTCACACATAATGCATGTACAGGTTGTTTTTATATAAATTAATTATTAAATGAGGTGACGATGAGTTATATCAAGATTATAACTAATTTCAAACTTTTCTCACAGCTTCTCCCCCTTTCTCTCTCCCCTCCTCTCTCTCTCTCTCTCTCTCTCTCTCTCTCTCTCTCTCTCTCTCTCTCTCTACCATACGCACATGCGTACACACAACAGGCAACACTGACGTTGGTCATTTATTGGATCCAACCACAAAAATGCTACTAAAACATCGTAGCAACCCTAACCATCACGTTATCATAACTATCATTTAATCGTCATCACCACCATCATGACATCGTCATCACCACCATCATGACATCATCATCATACCTTAATGGCTACCTCTTTGACCAGAGGGTGGTTCTTGTGTCCCTCCCTCAGTTGGGCGATGTACCTGTTCGTGACCTGAAGGAAAGGTCATCAAAGTTCATTTCGTCGTAAGAATGCAATTAATGCCATCTATGCTATGCTATCTGTCATGCATTTTATAATACAATAATACTGTCAAAATTCTGGAATGTTGATAAGATAACCATCCACATAGTTTTCTGGAAAGTTAATTTATTACTACCTACCCTTTGTTTTCTTCAGTTACTTGCGAAGTTGTTTGTGATTTTATTCACCACAAGCCGCCACTTACATATTTTCAGAGATGACTGGTACCGCATTTTGTTTTCATTCTGAATTTAATTCTGCACACTACTTTCTGAACATTTGACATTTTTAAATCTTGAGACAGATTTTTAAAACTATCTTTTGACGAGAACCACCTTCAACTAACATGGGTTCTTACACAACCCTCATCTCTCTCTCTCTCTCTCTCTCTCTCTCTCTCTCTCTCTCTCTCTCCATTTGATATCACTGAACAACAACCACTGAACTCCAACTGATGAGCTGCAATGAAATTTTTTGGCTTCATCAACAACATCTTTGCTTTCTAAAATATTTTTTTTTATATTTGCAAGGCGTTGCATTTAATTTTGCAAAATTTTTACAAACAGTTCAATATTTGAAAATTATCAAATGATATGTCTTGGTGGTCTTCATTTCATGAACGACCATTACAGACATTGCGTAGTGATCTATTTTGTCGACAAAATTAAACAACAAAAAACAATCAATTAAATAAAATAGACACCTCAGTTGGCTTGCCCATGTGTTGTGTCAGGACGATGAGATTGCAGAGTGTTTCTGCATTGTTGCTGTCCTGATGACATGTTTCGTTGTTGTTGTTTGTTTCAGTTTATTTAAATAAATATATCAAAGAAACACAAAGATTTGTTGAACTGCTCAATCACCTCAGTTGGTTATAAGTTTCAAACCTTTTAAACAATGATGATGCGAAATGATGTGAATTGTAACAAATAGATGAGAAAAAATTGAAATGAAGTTTTTGAACAATTTTCAAACTCCAGAACGTATGATCTAGAGTTGGTGTCAAAGGTACAATAGGTCATTTGCTCATAGAAATAATGTTTCAAAATTTAAAAGTAACTAATAAGTTTTTAATTTTTTAAATCTTTTTAAATGCCACGTGTACAACAGAATTAATATCTTTTAAAATATTGAGGACGACAAATAGTGCATCATTTGAAAGTAAAAACCTTGTTGAGAGCTTCTTGCAGGAGAGGTTCTGCATCCTCGAACCTGTTGCAAGATGATTGATGGTTGTGCAATGTTGTTGCTGTGATGGTTGCAAAACTACAGCATACATATAATACAAGTTGCACGCATTCATCAACCCAGCGCAGTATGAACAACAGCGTATATATTTATATAAAGACCCCCACGAAATTTATGGCAATAACTTACATCAACAACTTTCATGAAGAATAGAAACAAAACAAAATTATATCAAAAAATGGTGAACTACATTTTAGCAAATGAAATTTCTTAAAATATTTAAAGAAACCACAAACACATGATGAGCATCAGCATAAAAGAACATGAACGACATGCGAGCCACACGCGTTCAAGTGCACGGTAAACTATGTATTCAAATGAACAAGCACACCCAACCTTCCTTGAGCCATGTGGCAGGCTGCCTGTCCATTGAGGAGGAGCGGAGTGGAGCTGAACTTGTCGGACAACTCCTGGAAGATGTAGAAGGCTTCCTGGTACTTGTCACCACCCTGCTCAAAAGAATAAAATCAGATATCATGGCCTGATGACATCTGATAGCATTGAATATCTTTCGAGAAAATTGTTTGAAATTGCAAATGAAATAACAATCAGAATGTTGTATCATCCTCTTCATCAAGACTGCCACGACTCACAGGTTCATAAGCAACACCATCAAAACTGCAGACATAATAGGCAGATAACCCAACCAACCAGCCAGCCAACCAACCAACCGACCAACCAACCAACCCATTAGCATACTAAACAGCCAAGCAACCAACCAAAGCTAGATTGATCCAAGCAGTTGCCAGTTGAGTGACGATGTGATCCTCATCTGTATCTTGCATTCGTTTCAATTCCTTCCTGTTTGTCACATTCAATCCATCACATCATTCAATTCATCCCATCATACTACTGCCACCATTATCAGCAACATCACCCTCATTATCATAATCACCATCACCATCCCACCACCACCATCATCATCATCTTCACCTGGCAACATCCACCCTGTCCAGCTTGAGAAGAATTTGAACTGAGAGTGCCATGCTGTTCCACAACGAATACAATGATCAAGAAATAAGAGTCATGATCAAGAAAGAAATAAACGTTAATTTATGTGGCATGATAGAGTAATGGTTAGAGGCGCTTGGTCCAGCTTTACAGTAACCAGGTTCGATTGCAAGAGGATCAGCGCCTATCCAAGTAGGTAGGTAGGTGGGTGGGCGGCAGAAATGGCAAGAACGAAGAAACGACGAACCACTCGATGGCGTCTGACTGGTGCAACAACCGCAGTGCTGCATCGAAATCCTGCAAACATTCAAGAAATTTCAAACATCAAACAAGATGAACAAACCATTCGTAGACATAAAAATAATTTTTTTAAATGTTAAAATTTTCAGTGGCTGTTGTTTATAACTGTGAAAACTTCGTTCATTCATAAAAATTCATAATCTTTTTTATTTAAAACCGATAGAACCAACAGTGTTCATTCATTAGTTCGCTCATTCATTCGTTCAAAAACTTACCAAACCAAAATGACAAATAAACCTTTTTTCAAACTGCAACTTAAATAAATTAAGAACAAAATGTAAAGATGAGTACATACAAACGCACTGCAAGATGTTCAGTTTATTGCATCTTCATCAACCAATCAATGATTCAATTAACCATTCACATAATCATTTATTTGCTCCATCAATCATTTAAATGATCATTAATCTAATCCTTTGCTCAATCAATCACTCCTTCATGCAATAATTCATTCCTCCATTCGATCATGCACGGCAGCACCAACCCCTTCAGCATAGTAGATGGATCCGGCAGCCAGCAGGAATGCATAATCATTGAGGTCCAGGTTCTTCCCCAGTCGAGACTCCACTTCCTTCAACACCTTCTCCCTGCAAATGTCATTGGAATGCAAAATATAATAAATTAATTTAATGAAGAGCTAGAAAAAATAATTATAAGAAATGACTGGAAAGCAGACGTGAAGTAAAGAACCTTGCAGAATCGTTGGAGGCAGCAAAGTACTCGGCCATCAACTTGATGGCGCAAACTTCGGCAGGAGACGACGAGGACACCTCGTGGATGACCACTGAGTAATTCTTCTGGGCAATGAACGCCCTGTACAAGATGACATCACGCTGAATCTTCACATCACCCGACACCTGCCAGCATGTTTGTAATAATTTACAACTGGAAAGTATTCGTTTAATTTTTTATACACATGTGTCATATACACACCCAATCATATGTTTTGAAATGTTTGTCAAGAAATTTAAAATTGTATGTTATTCATCAAAAATAAAAAATTCAAAAACTTCATATTTGTTGGAAGTGATCAATGATTTCTGATTGTGATTTCCAATTTAATTTATGTCTTCTTGAAAAATAACTTATTTTCAGTCTCAAATCTCATCTTTGGTCAATGTTAACCCATAACGTTTAATCATTATCCACTATATACAGAGTTTTAGAACAGTGCACAGAAGCTAATAATTTTTTTTATAGAAAATATCAAATTAAATGTGTCAGGGTCGACAGAGCAGTTGATGCAACAGCTCTGTCTTTAAAAAGTTATTGTACATAACATGTGTCATACACACCCAACCATATGTTTTGAAATGTTTGTCAAGAAATTTAACTGCGATGATGCATCAGGCCGGCCGTCTCTGATATTAAACACGAGGGCCTAATATCCTCATGAGGACATTAGGCGAGGCTTAGAACAGGTACCTCCCTACACCACACAAACAGTACAAGGCACTATACATGGTCTCACATATATATATTATATATATTACAAAATAAATATAATAACAAATAAATAAGAAATAAAATAACTTGCTTTTGTTTTATTTAATTAAAAAAAATAATTTAATAATTAAATTACGAAGTGCCAACAAAATGTCGGTGACGTAATATATGTGAACCTTCATCTTCTGTCCGTCAGTGATGCACTGTTGGTAGTTGCCGATGTAGAGGGCACACCTCATCTCGAACAAGACGTCTGCGTCAGGATTGCTGGGGACAGCCATTTTATCTTCAGTATCACGATATTCGACAGCTTCTTCTATTTTATTTACTTTTACGTGTAAAAGTGGTGGACGCGTTTTATGGTTGCAATGATTTATTTATATGTATTAATATGCAGGGCATATGGAATAAATAAATATGTGTATAAATTGCTTAGTCTTTTTTACTTACCCAAAATTTTCCGTTAAGTTATGTTAATAAAATCATTTACTATATATTATATATATATATATATAAATTATATATTTTATATTACTTATATATCTATATTTATTTATATTTATGTCCACACCACAAGATACTGGTATTATTTGTACAAGCAGCGCATCATATGAGCACGACGTGTGATAGTTTTTGAGTTACGGACAGACAGGGTTCGAATAAGGCTATCACTTAACAACAGTGTGAGACATAACATAACATGACATAAAGATTTATTAGGGCAGGTAAAAAAAACCCATTAGCCCATATCCGAATGTCCTATTCAATGAAATATCAAATACACATCTTAAAAAATTAAAATTAAGACATGGTTCTACTCTGAGGGTGATAGTTGGCTACTATACTGCTACAGGGAGACCACACTTTGTACCTTATTGGTGATTCAATGCCCACGTAAGAGAGCCTGGTGAGTGATGGCCATGTTAACGAAATATAAAATGGTGGTAATAACGATGACTATGCTCGTGCTGCTCTGCTGATTATGTTAAACATGAATGTGGTCGTGGTGCCGATTTTCACGTGATTTTCAGGTAAGCATGATAAATGTTGGATGCACTGTAAGTTTTAGAAATGTTTAATTAGTTGAGTACCACATCACCTGATTGTTGCTAGTTGTAGTTCGGCGCCAGGAATAGAGGCATATGTCGGTGCCGGTATTGAGGTTTGGGTTTTTAGGTGTTGAGTTTTATTGCTGTTTTTGCACACGGTATCACAATTGTTATCAGGTGATGTATTGTAGGTAGGCCTACAAGCAGCTTTCGAGTCCTTCATTTATTATAAGGTTTAATTAAAGGTTTCGATATATTTTTTGATGCTCCATAGAGTGATAAATCTTACTGTTGTTCCATAAATTGTTTGTAGGTTGTTTTTGTCCGCCCCCCAGTTGAAATGCTATAATGTTTTTAATAGGTGTGAAGCTTTTGATCATCTGTTTTTTATATATATATAATTTTGATAGTGGTATGAAATTAAGTTTTTTTATGAAACATGATGCAAAATTGTTTATATTACTTTACATTTTATATTATTTTATGACCTTGGTATTTGATTTTTCGATAATTTTTAGTTCTTTTTTTAGACTATTATTTATGATGTTTTTTATTTAGAGAGGTGTTGACCATTTAGTGTTGTCCATTATTTGTGCAATGTTGTTTCTTCATTTATTATTTCATTCATTTTTATTTTTGAAAACTGCGCCGACATGAGAACCTACTTGTTAAATTTTCTTAAAGATACACACATTGGAGAACTGTAAAAATAACATTGAGCATCAATAGCCTAAAATAAAAAAAGGAATTATAAACAGAAGTTTTTATTGTTTACAAATGATGAAAGACATTGTTTTTAAAAATTTACAATCACAAATAAATACTGAAACAAAACGAAAGCTAACTTAATTTTTAAGCAGGTGAAATAAACGGGTGCAAAGTAACAATAAATAGATCTTAAAAGTTTGAAAAGCGTGGGTCTTCTGAATATATCCAAGCATAATAATTTTAGATAACTTCACTGTTTGTTGAAGGAATAAATGCTATAAAATTTAGTTAGAGGTATACATTCATAAAAAGAACTTTCCAAACAGTTAATTTTTCAACAATCACAAAAATCTCCAAATGGAAATTTGAAAAGAAGTGTAGCAAGGAAGTAAACGAGGAACAATGCGGCTGGTGGATGTTTTGATCGAATACCTGGAGATTGTTCTCCCTGTGAGAATCTTCTTAAGAAATGTTTATTCGATCATTCACCAAATGATGGACAACAGAAGTCATGCCTGCTCGGAAAATCAAAATGTAACTGCATTTGCTTCGAACAATTCGCTGGAGAACGATGATGTCAATGACTGTTGTCTTGGGGAATATAAAACGTTCATCAAAATAAGCCCGGAGTTATTTATATCATTCTCCACGATATTTTTCACACTCACTGTTTTGTATATAACACGACGATTATACAGACTGCTGTTCGAACCGACCAACAGAATCAAATACTTAAACGAGGTCGGATATATTTCCGACCCGGATCCAGCAATGGAGAAGATAACACGCCAAATGAAAGTGAACAAGGATTGGGAATCAGCTCCCCCTCCATACCCAAGTGGGTGGTACGGCATTCTCGAATCAATGTGCTTGCGGGCTGGAGAAATTAGAAACATCAACTGTTTAGGTTAATTTTTATAAAAAAAACTTTCGCTAGGTTTGACTTGCTGTTATTTCAGGACAGAGTTTGGTGGTTTACCGAGGAGAGAGAGACTGTGTTTACGTGTTAGATGCTTTCTGCTCTCATCTGGGAGGTAACATGGGGGTGGGTGGCAAAGTGATACACAACGGCATCTCATGCCCGTATCATGGGTGGCTCTATAGCGGCGAAGATGGCAGATGCTTTCAAATACCCTACGGACAGTCTGGCAGTAGAAGTTCGTTTTTGAAGGATTCCCGTTTGTTTATTATTTCACATTTATTAACAATAAAAAATATCGGCTTATAATGTAATAATAACGACTTCTTACATAAAAACATTAATGATTTATTAAAACATGCAATGAATGAAGTACCAATGAATGCCTGCGTGAAAGCTTACCCCACCCTGGAGATGAATGGTTTCATATACATCTGGCATCATTCAAACAATCGACCGCCAGCCTGGCAACCGGAGGCAATTGATGAGGTGCAGTTGAAGAAGTGGACGTACAGAGGAAGGAGTGAACATTACGTCAACGTCCACATACAAGTTTGCAAACCATGACCATGTGTTCAGACGAATTTTATTGAATCAGTTAACATGAAGCAGCCATTTTGTTGAGCTTCCAAGCCTTTTCGTGGAAAATATTACAGAAACGCTCTATTAACTAAAAAATTGAAATGTTTGTTGAAGATTTATAAAAATATTTACAATCAATTACATTTTGTATTGCAGGAGTTCCACGAGCAGGGCACGGATCTTTACCATTTGACGCAAGTGTACGGCCCAAGTATGTTTGCTAAATCGGATTTAAGGTTTCTTTCAAAATGGTGGTTGAAATTTATGTTTCACGATTGGCACGGAGCATGGTCACGTGATCAAGAGCGCCCCCACGTTGGTATTTTAAAACAAACTCATAAACTTTTGCTCTTCGGTGGCAACTACTTCCCATTCATGGACTTCGAAGCAGAGGCAGAACAAGTAACAGCTTAACGCTGTTGTATTATCATTTAATGTTTTTATTGACTCAATGTAGTAAAAAAAAAACAATTAAACCTTAAATAACACATTAGCCTGTGAGTTTTGAAGAACTTAATCTAAATATTTTTATAGACACGTACACGATGCTTCACTAAATATTGACAGCGAGTAGCGACGTCAGAAAATATTTAAAAGAGATTAAAACTTGATACCTGTCATTGTCATCGGCTGCACTTATCATACTTAGCAGTCAGCTTGCAACATGGCATCGATATTTCACTACAATGATTTACATCTCTAAATTGTTTTATTTGAATACTATTTTATAAGATTCAGTGTCGGTATCCACATAACTTCAACTTTGAATCACAAATATAGATCGGGCCAGGAATAGTAAACATGAGATTCTCAAGTCCCTCTGGTAGCGGAGTTCTGGTGCAAAGCATCGTTCCTATCAAAAATACCATACAACGTTTGGTGCAACATATCTACTTCGATAAGTCAACACCAACTTTTATAGCTAAACTGTTTCTTTATCATCAATCGATTAGAGTGAGTTAATAAAATTAATTTGATAATTTAAAAATTAAAATTTTCAATTTCACTTAAGAATCTCAAATAAAACAATAATACAGCTTGAACAAATTAAAAACCTGGTAAAATTAGATTAGAAAAGCATAACCGGTGGCATGAGCACATTATGGGCTTTCGAAATATCTTGACTTCAACATGTGCACGGAAGATCTTAATACTGATGTTAAATTGCGTCATTGCTGGCTTACATTATAGCAACAAACTGAGTAGTTGAATATGTGATTCATAAACCATGTAAACAATAACGTACACAGACTGAAAGAGACATAATGATCTGGAACAACAAAAAGTACCTAAATCACCCCATACTTATTGGAACACAAGCCGATGCAGGAATCAAAGATTTGAGACGCTGGTACTCACAGTTCTACGATGACATAAACTATAAAACATTCGACTTTGGGCGGCGAGGCAGCATGCAATGGGAGGATGGGAAATATGAAGACAACAGAAACGAACCGAGTCGAGAGAGAAGGAACAAAGGCATGAAAGATGCTAAACTAAGAAGTGAAGGTGGCGTTGTTATGTGTTCTCTGAGTAGCAGTGTGTTACCTAACAATGAAAATCAACCTACGCTGAGTAATTATGTGTTGCCAAACGTCAAAAAAAGTTTGACGAGTCCAAAAAAAAGACGAAAACTTATAAAAGATGGCATCAGAAAACGAAAAGTGGCCTTCAAGTTAGACCCGGAAACAAAACCGAAGAAAAAAAAGAAAATATTGAAGCAACGAAAGGACACTGGAGATGAACGAGTTTTTGACGCGCACGGCGACGACAGCGAAGAAGTTAGTTTTGAGGATGTTATCGATGACTTAACCGACTCTGAAAAAATTGGAGAGGGCACAGGCAGCACTGAGGAAATTAGTATTGAAGACGGTAGCAGCAACCGCGAAAGCCACAGCGTGGACAACAGTGCCAGCTTGCTCGAGGACGTGAGCAGTATGGAAGGCGATGAGAATAACGCCGAAAACAACTTGGAAGACATTGGGGGCGATGGAAGTGAACAGGACGATTTGATTTGGTAAAAAAAACGATACAATATTAATAAAATTTTATAACGTTCATGCATGTACTGTACATCTATTTTTAAATAAACGTCATACATATTGATAAGTACTCAAAACTACATTAAAATCAAATATTACTAAAAATTGTCATGTGTATTTTGATTTTGTGACGGTACAAGAGCGACATATGCATATAAGTATTTGTTGCACGCTCATGAGACGCCCACAAATAGACTCATACGCTTCTCAAGTGAAATTTAAATGAGATGTCTCTTTACTGACAAACTAAATTCGGAGATGATGTAATTTCTGTCTGGTCGACAACTTTTGTAAATCAGTTAAGAATGGTGACCTGTATGTGCGAACCCATCTTTACAACCCTAGATTAATAATTAAAATTAAAAGTATATTTTTTCCTTTGTAACTCATTGCTGTACTGAACTGAAGCTCTGTAAAATGATGACGAAGATGAAGGTAGGAGTGCACAGCACACGCAAACTTCACGTTCGCAAACAACTACACACCACAACACAGCGATAGTTAAGTTAAATTTAAAATTATAGTACTAGAGAAAATATTATCAACTTGGCAAACTCTACATTAATTGAAAACAAAACGCGTTAATAATTGTTTATGAAATTTTACAACAGAACATGTACATCTATTAAAACACAAACAGATCAAATTTTAAATTTTCTATGAACGAGGAGGATACACATCTACCGATTGCGACTATTCTGATGCATCGCTGAATGTCGGTTGAACATAGAACATGATTTATCGTTCATTTTGAAAGAAAAATGAAAAGGTTCTTACAGTAGGGTAAAAATTAACACAATAAACACGATCACAAATAAATGTCGAATGGTAAAAACAAAACTATGACTGGCAAATAAATGTAAGGAACAAACAAACAAATAAATAAATAAATTAATAAATAAATAGAGCGCACACCCACGCACTGGTATGCATGTGCAATTACATTTAAATACGTACTGTACATGAACAAAGTTTTAAAAAAGATGACTAGAACCATAATTAAAAATTGAATAAAAATTTGATTGAAGTTCAAATAAATTAACAACAACTTTACAAATCTAAAAAAATATCACTATGACACGAAGAACAGAGTTGAATGATTGACAAAAAATATCATCTACGTCACATCATATGATCGTAATAAATTATATACATTTTCCTACATTATTATCCTATTTAAATTTCTTTTTTTTTAAATAATAAAAACAATAATATACAATAACTAATGACCGATTACCAACAAACATCAAAACATCTACCTACACGATAACCATAAAACAACATCCTTCCAGCCCAATCATGCTCCGAATGACGTCACCTGCAGATTTAACGAGATAACAGGAAGTACGGTGGAATGTAAAAAGGTAGGGAGAGATTGCAAACAAACTCGCTCGCTCGCAAATAACTACGTCATCATTGACAAATACATGAGTTGTTAGCAAAACAAATATACGTCTTATATAAGTGTAAATATATATATATGTATATATAAATATATATAATATAGATATATATATATAATAGATATTATATATATATATTATTATATATATATATATGCAGTAATTTATGAAATTTACCGAATTTCTAGTGTTGAATAGTTTAAAAAAAACATTCCAATGCTAGAAATTCGGTATACATAATAAACTACTTCATTGATTATGGTCTTTTACCAGGGTATATATATATATATATATATATATATATATATATATACAATATATATATATATATACATATGCGTGTGTGTGTTCTTGTGCGTACAGTATGATCAACATATGAGCACGCACATCTACTGTGATGAAGGATATTTACGATGACAAGCGAGGACATCTGAAGCATTTTAAAATGTCGAAACTAGCTGCTATCTTAGAAAAGTGTTTGGGAGAACAAAGAAGACGTTTGAGACAACTGGCCAGAAACAAAAAAAACTAACGTGAAGGAATAACATAGCTAACCTAATCGTATCAATCACCCAATCATTCACCCAATCATTCACCCAATCATTCACCCAATCATTCACCCAATCAATCAATCAATCAATCGATCGATCAATCGATCGATCAATAAATCAATCAATCAATCAATCAATCCTCATTTATAGTTCCCATCCGTTATTGGTCGGACTTTAAATAATAATTTATTATAATTACTTTAAATAATAATTATTACAAATTAATACAAATTAATACAAAGATCGATACTAAATTAGACAAGAAAAAAATTTTTGCAGTTCACCAGCAAATAATGTTCTCCTCTGAGCAGACTTGCAGCAGAGTTAACACCACAGCGTTAACACACCTCTGGGACATCACACAACAATGACAACGACGAACGCATCGTTAGCCACAATAACTTAAATAAATTTAAACGATTTAAAATGATGGAATGATGGAAGGGAAATTTTAAAATGTGACTGACAAATACGCAGACCTACATACACACAAACACAAACAAACAGACAAGAACGTACACACAGTCACACAAACGAATGTACAGAGTCATACACACAGACACACAAACATGCGCAGGCCAGCACACAGACAAAGGGATAAATAGACAAACATATACAGACAAAACATACACTAATGGGGAATGTGGTGTTAGGTAGATTAATTTGAATGCAAGCTCTTACTTACGCACACACAAAATAAAATTTAGTTAAACGTAATGTAAATGTAATGTATTGTAATTTGTAACGATGTACTGTAATAATGTCATGTAATGTGTAATGAACAAGATATTCTCGCGTATCAGTGCATGTGTGGTAGCTGTGGTAGCGCAAACTTAAATGAATGCTACGACCAACAAAAAGAATTACAACCAGCAAATATTCTTCGCATGACTAGAGTAAAAGAGGATACTATCAAGAAACAAAAGAAAAATAAAAAGAAAACAAATTAGAAAAATATAACAAATAATCTGACTGAGAATATATAAGACGTCATAATCGATTACAAAACGTCATCATCATCATCGTCATCATCATCCACATCATCATCCACATCATCATCATCATCCACATCATCATCATCATCCACATCATCATCATCATCATCATCATCATCCACATCATCATCATCATCATCATCATCATCCACATCATCATCATCATCATCCACATCATCATCATCATCATCATCATCATCATCCACATCATCATCATCATCATCATCCACATCATCACGTCTTCTACATAATCATCATAGCCAGATGACTGGGTAAAATTATCAATACTATGCAGCGAATAGATGTAACGACACTAACACAACTTAACCTGGCGGAACGTAATGTTCGTGTGTCAATTGCTGTAGTGACGTGATTGTAAAGTGATGTAAGCTGCGATGGTCTTTAACTTACTTACAGGCTGTTGAACCTGGAACACACCGGCTATTATTATTATTTTATGTTATTTGAAAATGTAATGCATAACAATTCGACGATGACCAACAACTAATACTTAAATATACCCAAGCATGTTCGCTAACAGACATGCAAACGTACGCACATGCATGCATAGATACATACAGACATACAGCTGTCATCATTGTCATCACATATTCATTATCTGGAACATCAATCGTCATCACTCCAGTTGTTGTTGTTATCATCATCATCACCTTCCTCCTCCTCCTCATCATCCTCCTCCAGCAACTTCCTCCTCATCTCGAAGGCCACCTCCATGATGGATTGCACATCCAGCCTCATGTTCACATTCGGACGCGCCTTCCTCTCTATCTTCTGCCGACACTCCTCCACTTTGCGCAGCTGAATGCCTGGTTTGGTGGTGGTAGTGGTGGCGATCACAACAGCACATAACAACCACAACGTCGCAACAACAAATGACACCAACAACACGTGACCTCACAACATCACATCAACACACAACATGAGATCAACACACAACATCACATCAGCACACAACATCACATCAATACACAACATCACATCAGCACACAACATCACATCAACACACAACATCACATCAACACACAACATCACATACACACACAACATCACATCAGCACACAACATCACATCAACACACAACATCACATAGAGGACTGACCTTCCCTGATGGCAGACAGAAGATCACAGCGAGTTTCCCTCAAAACTCCATTTGTTGCTTCACCATTGTTGTCAGCGTTGACATTAGCAACAGATGATTCAGAACCAGACGACAACAAGCTGATTTCTGAATTAAGGGACATCTCATCGGCCATCTTCGGATACAAGTGGTTGTTGTTTGTTGTTGTTTTTGATGCTGTCGTTGTTTTCAGAGTTGTCAGCAGTGTGGCGGCATCAACATCGACTGCTTGTAACTTCAAGACATCGTCGTCAAGACCAGCATCAGTTTTGTCGTCACCATCAACCTGCTCGTCATCGTTGTGGTTGTAGAGGCCTGCAGACGTGGGTGGCGAGGGAAAGGATGATGACAAGGAAGATGATGCCATCGAGGTGTCCATGGTCAGTTGGCAGGGATGTGTTGGGGGTGGTGGCGGAGGGATGGGTGGCAGGTCAGACATCTCGTCATCATCAACAGCACCACCTCCATCAACCTCATCACGAACAACGTCCATTATTGCTCCACTTTCTCCAGCAAGGACATCTTCGTGAAGGTCATCCACCAACAAGTAATCGTTGTCGACAGTTTTGTTCGACTTAAGAGCATCTTCGCGCCTGATGTACTGATCGTTCTCAGCAGCAACAGATTCCTCCTCGACAATCCTTCCATCACCTTCAACATCTCTCTTCATCGCAAGTGCCCTCCTATCAACTTCTTCCAAAATTGCTGCCACACGCACCTTCCTACCACCCCCCACCGCACTCAAATCTTTTTTATCAGCTACATTCAACTTCTTGTTGTCCAGCACATTAACAACCTCATTGTTGTTAGCTTCCTGGTTCAGGAACTGTGCAGCTTCATAGAGCTCGGGTGGCGTCGGTGGAGCTGGTGGTAGATTCGTCGGCTTCAACTTCTGCTTCTGTTTTGGAGACTTGATAGTTGTTGATGATGCGTTCAAAGGATTCGGGGATAGGTTGATTGACAATGTGGTGAAGGTGTTTATTGCTGGTTGTTTGACGTCATTAGTGGTAGATATTGTTACAGCTGAAATTGTTGATGTTGTTGTTGTAATGTTTACAGTTGAGGATGTCGTTGCAAGTTTTGTAGCAGCTGGAGCTTCATTCATTTCGTTCATCTGCTTCAACAAGGCCAGTGCATTTTCATACAAACTTTCCTGATCTTTCAGTTTATTATCTGATGATGATGCTGCTGCTGATGATTTGGCAATTGAATTTGACGAAGTGACGAGTGTTGAAACCATGGATTTTTGCGACAGATCCAAAATGTCAACGTCATTATTTGCGACAGTTGTTGTGGTTGTTGACTTGTTGTTGACCGTTTTAAACTTAACATTGTTAGGTTTTTCTGCTGCAGCTACAGCAGTAGGAGCAGCAGTGGTAGTGGTAATGGCAGATTTTGTTGAAGTGGTGGTCGTAGTGGTTGGGTGTTTTGTTGAAAACTTCATAGCAATATCTGATGCATTGGTTGCGGAGGATGAGATGCTGGTAGTAGTAATGGTAATGGAAGTAGTAGAAGTAGCAGGAGTTGTTGTGGTAGCCGAGGTGGAAGTTGTTATGGTAGTAGAAACATTAAGAATGTTGCCAGCTACAGAAGAAGTAACAGAAGTAGTAATAATTGTGCTTAATGATGTTGTAGTTGTGGTCGTTGGAGATTTAAGATCTTCTTTGCTTTTCAATTTTTCATTTTTCAATTTTGATTTTTTGTCTGGTGACTTGTCTCTTTCCTTCAGTTTATCAGCAGTTTTAGAATCAGATGTTTTTATTTTTATTTGTGAAGATGTAGTGGTGACAGTAGCTGCAGAAGTGAGGGTAGTAGTTGTTGTTGATTTGGTGGCAGCTGTAGAAGATATTTTACTTGCAGCAGCTGCAGCCACATTTTGTTTGTTGTTGCTGGTGCTGCTCACCTGCCTGTCTTTAGATTGCTGCTTATCCTTCATTTTGGACTTTTGAAGATTTTTCTCATTATTGACATTAGTAGATACAGAGGTGGTTGCAGATGTGGTAGTGGTAGTAGTGATTGTGACGGCAGGTGGTGTCGTGGCGGTGGCATTAGTAGTCTTCTTGTGCTTCTTGTGTCGTTTCATTTGAGTTTTGGATTCCTTTTGCATAGCCTGGCACCACAAATCAAAGAAGTAACTTGGGTCTGTGTAAAACTTCAAGCTGTCCTTCCCATCCGATCTTGAGGAGCAAAATTTGCATCATCAATAACTGAAGGAAGCAATAATCTTACCACTCGAACCACAATCAGGTAAACAACATTGTTCAACCTCTAACAGCAACAAGTCAACAACAACAACAACAATGACTACAACAACAACAGCAGACAGTAGCGTGAAGACAAGAATAAATGAATAAATAAATGAATGAATGAATGAATGAATGAATGAACCTGCATGTGTTGAGGAGCTGCAGAAGTGGTGGAGGGTCACATGCGCTGTACACGTACGATATGCATTGCGGTCTTGTGCTGTGCGTCACAATCTGCCATCATCATCATTGTAGTATTATCATCAGCATTGTATTATGTACCAACATCATCATCACCATCATCATCATCATCATCATCTGGCACTGATACAGCTTTTGATTTTTGATATAATTATTAATTTAAACAGTTTAGTTACACATAATTATTAAACCATTGGCAGATCAAATTTGCTTAGAGAAAACATTAGTATTTTTTAATTGATGCATCCCTTGTCAAATTTTTGGTATGAATTTAGTTTCAGTTAAATTTTACTAAATTATTTAGTTCCATTATTATTGTGATTGAGTCTCTTAGTGGAATGGAGCTTGGGTTGATTGAAATATGTTTGATTGTGAGCATGTATTCACCTTGAATCCACATTCAGACTCGTACAAATTCATCTATTAAATCCGATTTGGATACCATAAATTTTGATTTTCTGGATCTGTCCCATTCCTATCACCTATGCACCAAAAAGGTCAGTAAGTTAGATTCTGCTAAAGAGTGTCATCAGGTAGAAACAAATTTGAGTCATTTCAAACATGATCCTAGACAAATTTTGAAGTATTATTTCGGGACTGTTTATAAAAAAAAAATTTGGCTGAGATATCTTAAACAACTGACTATTATTGAATGATCAAAAATGATGCCATCGAAGGTTTGGCCATGTTTGTGGAATGAGTCAATATTGGCTATGATGTCAACTGCTTTGGAGGGACCAACCCAACTACTGTAAGAAGCAGTGGAAGAAGATCAGTGAAATTGACGAGTTCATGTAGTCGAGTTCATGTAAGGGCAGCAGTGATGAGCAGCAGGAGAACATAGAGCAACGTCCAGAACAATGCTTGCTAACCACAGGCACCTACGGCTGTGTAGTGGCTGAAGAAATGCTCATTGTAACAGGCCAATCAGGAAACAAGGATGTGTTCACTTGTATAGAAATATTAAGAAAAATAATTAGTAATTTGCCTGAATGCTTTTAAAAAAGTAAACAAAAGATGGACACCAAATCAATTACGCCATATTCATTATGCCCATACTAAAAAATAATAATAATAATAACAATGTTAGAGTTAATAATAATAATCATAAAATCATCCCAATCATCAAAGGGGCAAAACGATGCCTCACAGGCACTTGAACCAGGCAACTGCAGTGCAGATGCAGGCACTCCAACCTTTGAAGTCATCACTCTGCCCAATAAAAGAAAAATATTATCATGATACCAAAACAAACCTGCTGATCTTTCCATGTGGAAAACTTGAACGGCTTTCTGAGGTTGATATCATGTAGGGAGACTGAAGGGTGAAGAAAACAACTAATATTAATTTTAATGCAATGAAGTTGAAAAAACAAATTGTGCCTAAATAATTAAATAAATTATTTTTGCAACTATTTATTTCATAACATTTTAATATGTGATGATAATAAATTATATGAATTTATTGGGACAATCTTGTAAAATTTAATAAATTTTTTGGTACTATTTGCCTTTTCTCTTTATTTAATAATTGTTTTGTATATTTTAATTGGCGCTAAATTATTGTTTATCACAAGTTTCGTAGCCTAGACTAACTTTGATTCTGGCATGTCTCTTTCTTCCCAGATTAATGGTGTTGCTTTAAGTTTTGCCTTTCCTTAACAATCCTACTTTTCTCATTCTTGTTACTACTTTAGTTTTATCTAGGATTGATTATTGTAACTGGTGTTCCTGATTCTACACTTTATCCTTTATAGTTAAGCTTTTAACTCTACTGCTCGCCTAGTTGCTCAGACCCCTTTCTTTTCTCATATATCTCCATATCTTATTCTCTTGCACTGGCTACCAATAAAATATAGAATAATTTTTTAAATTTGCACATTAATGTATAAGTCTGAATCTAAATTATTTCCTAAGTATTTATCAGATGTATTAATATTTATTGAACCTCAACACCCCGGTTTACTATTGTCTTCTTGTTCTTGCTTCTTCTTAACTCGTGTTAAACAATCTTTTGCTTGATCTGCCATTGCTTTTTCTGGTTGGTAACATATTTATTATTTATCTATGCTGTTACAAATTTAATTGACAATCAACATTCTTAGAAGGAACAGGAAATCACATGGGTCCATTTTAAGTCAGAGAGAATTAATATTTTTGTTCCTAATTCAGTTGTCGATGTTTTTATTTATGAAAGAGTAATAAGTCATGTTGGTAAGTTGTTAACTGTTTTTTAAATGAATTAAGATGAACAAGCCAAGCACTTATAATTCAAAAACATATAATCGTAAAAACAATATAAAAGATTAATACTCACACATGAAGATAGGCACATGCAAACAAACACATAATTATATGCACAAACCCAGGCATACATATGCATAAGTCCACGCATACATATGCACAAACACACACACACATATGCACAAACACATGCACACACATGCACAAACACACACATATTTGCATATAAACTAAGCACAGACAAAAGTGCAGAGAACCTTCTTCAACGATAGGGTTCAGTTGTCCAATCTCCTTCCTCAGCGACTCAACTTTCCTGTTGAGCTGCATGGTCCTCTCAAAAATGATCGTAGTCTCCCTCTGAAGTTCCCCAAACATATCCTGCACGTGAAGACTGAGACAACTCAACTGCCTCATCACGTCAATTAGGGATGTTACAGTTACCTGCTCCAACTCATTGTTCACTGACTGGTGTCTGGTTTTGTTGTTAGTTTGGATTAGTGAACCAGTCGTCAGCAAAGAGCCGATTTTAATAGGCTGGATCGTTCGCTTCACAAAAGGCATCTATCTCCTTACTTAAATGTTACTTTTATAATTTTATCGTTATTTTAATACTTTAATCTATTTATTTATTTTATTTCAATAGCTTTCCATGAAATTGTCAAAATTACTATTAACTTATTTTTATGATTACTTAATTTAATAAATTAATTATAATTGATTAAAAATTAAGTGAATTAAAACTCGAACAGCAACCAGCCATTTCTTGCAAAGGCAGTTTTATTTATTTATTTTTGAAACCACTGTCAAATTTATTAAACGAAATTTAAGCCAAACCCACATTGAACAATCACATTAGGATGCTAGTTTGGATGCAAGAATAAATAATTTTGCTCTGAAAACAGGGATGTGTGATGTATCGGTTAAGCTAACCGGTAAAGCTAGTTGGTACTCATCTTAGCCGTTCCGTTGTAAACCTTATCAAAATAGAAGAAAGAGGAAAAAACGTCCCACATGCATTGTATGATAAGGCAATACCAGCCATAAGCATGGCATAGCTACCTCTATATTTTCTAATCTTATTTTCTATTTTCTGGCCTCATCCATTTGTTTGAATCAATCAATCAACCAATCAATCAATCAATCAATCAATCAATCAATCAATCAATCAATCAATCAATCAATCAATCAATCAATCAATCAATCAATCAATCAATCAATCAATCAATCAATCAATCAATCAATCAATCAATCAATCAATCAATCAATCAATCAATCAATCAATCAATCAATCAATCAATCAATCAATCAATCAATCAATCAATCAATCAATCAATCAATCAATCAATCAATCAATCAATCAATCAATCAATCAATCAATCAATCAATCAATCAATCAATCAATCAATCAGCTTATAAAGCGCTATTTCCGCGATGTTCAACAGTGAATTTTGAAAACAGATGGGTCTTGAGATCCGCTCTGAACTTCGCAAGTGATGGAGAAGTAGTCAGAGAAGTAGGTAGAGAGTTCCAGAGAAAAGGACTAAAAAAAGCAAAAGCAGATTTGGCAAAAAAGTGTTTAACACGAGTTAAGAAAAAGCGAGAAGAAGAAGACGATCGTAAACCGGGGCGTTTAGGTTCAATTAATATATCTGATAAGTACTAAGGGAATAATTTAGATTGAGACTTATTACACAAGTGCGCAAATTTTAAAAATTATTCAATACTTTATAGGAAGCCAGTGCAAGAGAACAGGATATGGAGATATATGAGAAAAAAAAGGGGCACGAGCAACTAGACGAGCAGCAGAGTTAAAAGCTTTACTTAAAGTATAGAGTATAGAGTCAGGAAGACCATAGTAGAGCGAGTTACAATAATCAATCCTAGATAAGACCAACGAAGTAACAAGAAGGAGAAGAGTAGGATCATCAAGAAAAGGCAAAAGTTTTTTTTATTCTACGTAGATGAAAGTAAGAGCTTCTAGCAACGCTATTAATCTGAGAAGAGAGAGACATAGTAGAATCAAAGATAGAATAAATTAGAATGAATAAATTAGTGTCGGAACCCGGAAAATATTAAAATGAAAACTCCGAGCTAGCCATTCTCCTCGTGGTACAAATTAAATTAATCGTACTAAAGCTTTAGCTAAAAATTGACTGCGAGATGAGGTACGAATGGCGTAAAAATGATCCAGTTTGATTGATATTTGGGTTGGCATGTGAGTATGAGCGTGGATATGCTTGAGACGTGTGAGCGTGTTTTACTTTTGTTATTACTTGAACAATTTATGTTTTCATTTAATAAACTAATTTTCAGGGATTTTGGCTCATTGGTTGTACACCCGCGCTCATTAAATCTCTTATGTTGTTTTTTGATGTCATTCAACTTTAACATTGATAGCTAGATAAAAACGTACCCTACACGGTCCATCCAAATTGACAACGCAAATATTTTCGCAGACATTCCCGGCGTGTTCACCAATTGAAAAATTTTTTACCTCACCAATGTTATCACAAATTTTTTTTATTCTGTAAATCAAACTCTCAGACGCAGAGAAAGTAACAGCATGCAAGCTATAGAACGGATAAGATGCATTTAGTGGGAGTAAAATAAGATAATTTGAAGAAAATATTTGAAGACACGTCGAAAGAACGTAATACTTGGTATAGCGTAACGCCTTCGAGCAGCGACACGCCATATACGCAAATCTGAACCAGAACAGACACGGACACAGCGAGCGCGCGAACGCTGATGGACAGAACAAACGTAACGAAACAGTCTATTTATATTATGTTTTATTATTTGTCCTACGAACGGTAATGAAACAAAATATTAAGTATAAAAATAAACATATATACAGTTTACAAAAAGTTAAAAATTCAATCGTAGGTTCATAACAAGAACATGAATATTCGCAGTTCAAATTGTAACCAAAGAGAATCATCTGTTCACATCTCCAGAAGTCACAGCAGAAGCATTATCTTTGAGTTGCTCCTTACTTCCAGTATCTCTGTGTTCAAGGTTTGATCTTTTGTGATGATGAGATGGAGAGGGAGATGATGAATGCTTACGCTTCCTGCTCCTATGTTTGTTATGTCTTTTGTGATGAGTCGATTCTTCCTTCCCGCCATCTGCATGTCTCTCCCTGCTTCCTCGATCATTTTCTTCATTATTGTCTTTTGAGCTTTTGTGTTTTTTCTTGCTACTCTTGTGCTTGTGATGATGATGATGATGCTTGTGATGTTTATGCTTGTGGGAATGTTCATCCGAACTATGAGAACGATGACGTTTGCGATCTTTAGAACGATGTCGTGATCTGGAACGTGACATGCGTCGGTCTGCAGGCGACCTGTCTTTTGAGAATGTCTGTCTCTCTTTGTGCACACTGGGAAGGCTTGCCTCTCTAACACCAGTTTGTGGACTCTGCTTGGCTAATGATTTCATAGTTGATTCCCTGGTCAATTGAAATGAACTGTAATAAGCTTCTGTTAATGCTATACAAATTTAATGGCAGAATATTGTAAAACTTTAATTACCAAATGATAAATTAAACGGCCTCTTGATAATAAGCAAGCGATTATCAATATTATTTGGCCATGAAGTTGTAAAATAAGACATGAGCACAAACTGTCAGCAAATGTGAACAACCCAACAGAAACCAGCTTGGTGAATCAGTACTAGGTACAAGTAATGTAACATGTGTTTGGCAGTCAATACGATTTTTAAATCAAATATTCATAACATCTCATTAACATTTAAAGGTGATTAAGTCAAAATTGAACAAACAAATTACTGAAAGCAAGACATATTTGAAAAAAAAAGATAAAGATATATGCATTACTTGAACGTACCTGTCTGCCATCCTAGCCTGCCTCTCAGCCTCTCCAAATGAGACATCCTCCCTCACAGCACCTGCAGAGGCACCGGCGACATTCATCACTCCATCGCGTGGACCAGCTGTGTTGTGGTTCAGTCGAGCTTGCTTGGCCATGTGGTTTCGTCTCTCCTTGTGAAATGACAAACGATTCTCTATGTCCTTCTGAATCGGCACTGGAATGCGAGGAAACAGCGTTCCATACCTGATGGAGGCAGCAAGTAAAAGTGATTGTCAGATAGATAATTTGATGTTTGGTCCCTTGCAGGACGACCAATGAACAAAATATTGGGTTCATGATATTATTTAACACTTTAATATATAAATACGAATAAGTTACCAAATGCATAAGATATTTTAGTTGAAATATTCAATACTAAAGCAACATATGGAACAAACATTATCCTAATAAAACAACACATTCTCAAAGAAATATGTACAAGTGTCTGAAACTCTGCAGGCATTCGATGCTTTCAACATTTACTCATGTTTTGTACATCATTTTGCCACACTGCTAATTTTAGAGTTTAAAAAGCGGTTTTGCAATTAATCCTATTCTTGAACAAAATTTAAAAAACAATAAAAAAAAGTCTTCAAAATCATTTGGAAATATCTAAGCTGAGTTGACCAGTGTATGCTGACAGGCTCTTGTTTACTCAATGCCTGTTAACTGGAAAACAATGATGTTGGTAAAACTCAATGATTTATGAACACTCAAATACTGGGAATTTCATCCACTACTAATGTCCAATATATATTCTCAGAAACAAACAAAATTTGAGAAGCATCATAACTAAACACATCCATCTACAATTTGCTTACAATATTTAAGCCCTATATAATTAAATATTAGCAAATGAAACAAGGAACTGAAAAAACTAGCAAGTAAATCCACAATTTTGGAGTTTTAAAAAAAATCACACCCTGACTACATCTGCAAATATTGTATTCCTCCATAAATTATTCAATCAATCTTCGTTTTGCGTCCAGAGACCCGGTTTCCCAAGGTAGGACGTTGTTTTCTTTGCCATCAACTTTTTGCGCCAAACTAGATGATCAGTTGTATCCATTTCATTTAAATTTATAGCTTTCATGTCTTGCTCGATTGTTTGCGACCAGGACTTCTTTGGGACGTGTGCCAGGTACTTCAACATCTGCAAGAAAAGTTATGGCAATGTTTCCACTTCGTTTGACATGACCAAACCACCACAGACGGTGTTGCCGGCATTCGTTCTTTATATCATCTAAACCAGCACGATGCAGGATTTCGATATATTTGATGTGGTCCTTCAGACTAATTCGTTGCATCCATCGGAGCATTTTCATGTCGGTTTGTTGGAGTTGTTGTTCCAGTTTGGTTATCATTGGCCATGTTTCTGCACCATACAACAACACCAGACGTATCACAGATTTATAAAGTCTTGATAGTAGTGGTAGTGAAATGCCACGTGCATCAATATAGAGGCAAGGAGATGCCATTTATTCCAGGCTGCACGTATGCGTGCTCTAACGGCAGCTTCAGCTGTTCCAGTACAATCCAGAACATTTCCTAGATATTGAAACGATGTGACTTTCTCTATTTTAATAGCTTCAAAAACAGTGCTATTTCAAATTTTTTATGTAATTTAATGTAATGAATAATTTTATGTATTCCTCCATAGATAACAATACAGCAAATAATTATACTAATATTCAGACAGAAATTTTAAAGATGTAGAAATAATATTTTGTAAAAGTTGCATAAATATTTTTACAGTAGAAAGAAAAGATCAATTCAATGAAATAATGGACTGAAAAAGCTGATGACACATCAGTAAAATGATTAATACAGCAAACGAACTAACCAGTCAAGTTTCAAGAGGAGTTGTTCGCACATTTCTCCTATCGTCATGTTGTTTCCACCACCTGCTTTTGGATCAACTTCCTGTTGGCAAGCACAAATGAATAAATGCTTTATCGGGTTATAGATTAAAGTGTAATCCGTAAAAATTATCTTATTCACTTGTCGTACTTCAAAAGATTTTCAATTGACAATCCACACTAGTAAAACTAGCATAGCAATACAACGAATCATGCATTTTATTTTAAAATTAGTAATCTGAAAGTAAAGAGAAATAAAAGAAAACAGACAGACCTCATCATCATCCAAGTACGGCTCCAACCATTCCCAGAATGTGTTGGGAGGTTGTGTGTATCTGCAAATAAATATTCATAACTTATTCATCGTTCAATAGTTGCCAATCTCATTCACAAATGTCACCACACACACACACACACACACACACAAACAAACACGCATGCCCACACACACACAAACGCACACATATAAACACAGGTTATTCCACAACGTCCCCATCATATCAACATTTTGGAAGAAAAAACAATTTCAACTCTTGCCAAATGATAGTCAGCAACACCCATGCACCTACACACCCACACACATTCACACCTCCCTCCAAACATTTAGAACCTACTTTTAGTGTACTGACCTTATGTACATCAACCCCAATGCCCTGATGAACGATGAGTCAGTGTGCGTGCACAATCCAATAAGCTGCTTGCGAGTGAGTTTGAGAGTGTACAACTTGTAGAGTAGGCAGTAGGCACTTGAAACGATCCCTCCAGTACCCACACCACGAACCTGCATTTATAAAATGGGTTCACTCAGCAAATTCACAGTGATTACATTAAATAAACTATTGATGCTTATATTGACAGTAATTAAATACTAAATACTATCAGTAAAAAATAATTATTATAGCACAAGACAAAAAGTGGACTATTAAAAAAATACAACAAAAAACAACAAATGATAAGAATGGGTATCAAAAAAGAAATAGAACAAACCCCTCCGCACATCCCTGTTTGTCCTGCCAACTTACGACTTCCCTTCTCCCAAGGTTCCAGGTGATTCACCTAGTCAAATATTTTATAATAAAAAGGGTAATCATTTTTACAATTAACTTTAACTCGAATGACACTATTAAACCAATTCTGAGTATTTTTGATTAGCAAAGCATACTTATGACCATTTAGTAAAAACGAAATAAATAATTAAGAAATATAATGAAAAAAGTCTAAACTTGTTTCGCACCATGTACGTACCTTGTAGTAAATCTCATCAATAACCTTGTGGTAGGTCTTTAACTCGTACAAATGAACTTTGAAATACGGAGAGGCCTGTATGTTTGCCAGTACAAGTGAATTGAGGTTCATCGTCTTCTCATTGCCATGAATTGGTAATGCATTGCTCGGAGCCATGATATAAACTCTGAAAAAGCAAAACCGATTTGCTCAGATTTAACTTGTATATATCAATTTATTACTAATTAAAAAAATTTACATTCTTCAATAACATAATGGTCAATCTCTATTCCAACATTTTCACAGATGACACCAAAACTAAACAAGTCACTAGCAGATATAAACAAATCGTCTGTCATAAAAAATCAAATAGGATAAATCCTCATTTGCTATAAATATCACTGCTGAATTATTGAAAACTTACCAGACACATCAAATATGTCAATGGGAAATAAATCATATCTTTGGATAAAGATACAGGCTATAAAATATATGGATCTTTGCAAAACATTAGTACAAATATCATTTATAAAATTTTGATGTTAAATAAGATATATACAGAATATATTATATACGGCCTCTATAATATATCAATAGTTAAACTCTTAAAAATTCTTAAAAACAGACAGATTTTTGGTTCATTGAACAAAAATCTTTTAGAACAATTAATTAATTTAATTAATGTGTAGCGAACTGTTTATTACTTCAATGTTTTAAACTAAAGAATGATATTGCCATTCTGTCATGTAATAACCACAAGGTATTTATACTAATATTTTATATCTTTTCTATATCACATTTACCATAGTAAATTTCCATAAGATATAATTCGGATAGTTCAGTATTTTCTGCTGGCCACTTAGTAAAGGACTAAAATATCTAAAAGTCAAAAGATATGCTGCAGTATTTACTGTGGACAGCGGGAACATTGCCTCCTGTAATAAAATGCCCAACTCAATGGTTAAAGGCGCCTGGTCGTGCTATTGCAATGACTGGGTTCGAATACAAAGAGATCCCCGCCTATCATATGCAATGTGTATGATGCGTGGTTTGCATGCGTATTCATGTGCATGTGTTTGTCGTTGAAACCTCTGAAGCTAACGCAAAAGAGAGAAAGAGTAACCTTTAACCTTTTATTCTGAAGTAAAAATTAAATGTTTAAAAAATTAATAATACCTTCTTCTTTAGTTAGCTTTGCTTCCTCAGGTTACCCGCTGCTATTTCAAGATCAACTTCGTTGATTATTTAGTAATTAGTTATTCCTTTCCTTTTTTCGTGAAACTGATGATAAATAAGAAAAAATGAAAATAACAAAATTCAACTGAAATTTATTATTCAAAAATTTCCAGCTCCTAGTTGTTCGGATTTTGAACGAAACTAAACGAAAGACCGCATCAAATAATCTTCACAACACGACGGAAAGAAAGTAACTAACGCGTCACATACACACACATATGTATATATATATATAACGTTAAACAAACATGGACGTAGTATACAAAGAACTAATAATTTACGACGTACAAAGAATATAACTATTTAATACTTTTTTCTGTTTAAACGGAATGTACCAAGGGGAGGAATGTACCAAGAATGTACCTTCTTATGGGTTGAAGCAGGGATATGCAAAGAATCTCAATTTTTTCAACTTTTTTCAACAGTAATGTCTCCCCTTGCTCCAAACCACATAACTAGAATAATAGGACTAATCGATCAATTCGATCTATCGGTCGGGCTATTTGTCGTGCTTGGATTGTTGGCTTACGAAATTGCATGGATTTTAACGAGCAAGCTAAATGAAATATTTACTTGATTTAATATGTTTAAAACATTGTAGTAATTCTATTTAATTTTAATAATGATTAATAGAATTATGTATTATTAAATTATTTTTGTTAATTTGAATATAAAAATTGCTTTTGGTCCGGTGAAATCCGGTGGCTTACTGAAACCGAATGTTGGCTTAGTAGGATTGAACTATAGTCACCTTTTTTTTTACACTATTCGATCATGTTAAAAATTGGTTTGCTTATGAAATAAACGGCCTAAATAAATCAAAATTGTTATTTGAACAACTATCTTCATTATATTCAATGAATATTTTACATTCTGCTGGTGCTCATAAGAAACTGGCTGCTGAAATCATACGCTGGCTTACAGCAGTGGCTTACAAGGTTTCATAGAACTCTTACGATAGCACTTTTTTGTACATATAATGCATTAAATAAATCAATATATTCATATCACAATTATTTTTGTCAGTATAAATATAGAAATTGCTTTTGTCAGGTGAAAAACAGTGGCTTACTGAAGCCGTAGGTTGGCTTAATCGGATTTTTTCTCATGTATACAATACTATAAGATAAATCAATCAAACAATCAGTCAGTCGGTCGGTTGGTCAACCAGCCAGCCAGCCAGTCAGTCAGTCAGTCAATCAATTAACCATCCGATCAATCAACCGATCAATCAATCAACTAAATTGAATGAACCAAATAAAAATAAAAACAAAAATAAAAATAAATAAAAAAAATTTGCAAGGCCTGTTCAAACTCGAACAAACAGTTAACCGTACAGATCTACAAACAATTTCGAGATTTTAGTAAAGAAAGAAAAACACAGTAGTTGCTTTTATTTGAATTCATTCAAAAATGAAAAGTGACGGTTAATTAAAATTTTAAAATGTCAATTTTTTTTTAAATTCTTATTTTAAATAAACAAATATAACAAAATATCGACCGATAAAAATAATTATTATCCATTATTATTATTATTATTATACACACTCCTTAGAAGTTCTCGAAGAATAATAAACCACGTAACATGAACATTTAGTAAGAACAGTTCACAACATATCATAATGACTAACTCAACATACTAAACAGAAATAATTTATACATGCATATATATACAAAGTAAATCAAGAAATATCCAAAAATTATATAACCAATTTAAAAAAAACTAGAAACCAGTCAACATTTAATGAATAAATAAATAGACATTAAAAAGATTGTTCAAAAAGGTACAATTTAAGGCGACGACGAGAATGAAATGTAGTTTGTTTTGTTGGTGTGGTGTTGTGAAGCGAAAACAAACACATTACACAAAACTAGTAAGAAGTCGCAAGAATAATAGTCAGTCACCTACCTATAATAAAATTACTCTCAGGGCCCTAGCTTACTTATAAACATTGACTCAACTCACTTACCTACAAATTTGTATTTCTCGTTTTAGATGTTTCAAGTATTTTATTTAACATATTTTAGCGTTTTTATTTTACTTGAAGGTTTTTAACTAATGTTAAGCCCTAGCCTACCTACAACTGTTTAACTCATCTCAGTCCCTAACTTACCTATGAATTAAATTAAAGCCCGGTTCACGGTAAAGAAAATATTAAGTTGAAGAGAAACATAGCAACAACGACACCGAATGAATAGATGTTGTGTATGTATGTGTTGTATTGATGTGTGTGTATGTTAATGTGCGGGCGCGCACTCTCCAGAAACTTCACTCACTACCGACGAACCTCCATTGCACCGACCATCATCTGACACGCATCGATGGAATGAATTTGACCGGATACTGAAAAAAAAATTGAAAAAAAAAAATTAATTCACTAAAATAAAAAACAAGCAATTGGAAAAAATAGGCAACTTATCTTGAGATAACACTCAATCTTTGTTCAAATTCGAGTACTTTCAAAGGTACAATGAGACAAAAACAAATTTACCTTTAACATTATCTTCGATTTGTCATCGGAACGATCATGAGACCGCCATCTGAAACGTGCTGACGCCTACCACAGCCCACCTCTCATCATTTTGTAAACAAGTTTTTATAAATTAGCGAAGTAGTAAATCAAGAAACAAAGGAACGAACGAATAAATGATTAACTGAATGATTGAACGATTGGTTGAATGAATAAATTAACTAGTTAATTAATCAACCAATGATTTAATGAATGAATAGAATGAATAAATGAATAAATTAACTGAGGAATAATTTGAAAGATAGTGATAAAATGAATGAATGAATGAGAAAAATAAAAAGGAAACTAAATCATACTTCAAAAACCGTCGTTGTTGTTATCTTCGAATTGTCATCGGAACCATCATCATAAGACCTCCATCTGAAACGTGCTGATGTCCACCACAGCCCACCTCTCATCATTCTGTAGACATTTTTTTAATAGCGTATTAGTAAATCAAGGAACAAATGAACGATCAAATAAATGATTAACTGAATGATTAAATAATTGGTTGAATGAATGAATGAATTAATAAATCAATGATTCAATTAATGAATAGAATGAATTAACGAATCAATTAATAGAAGAATAATTTAAAAGGTTGAGTGATAAAATGAACGAATGAGAAAAATAAAAAACGAAACTAAACCATACTTCAAAAACCGTCGTTACTGTACTTTCCATTGCATCGACCACCACCAACTGGTCGGCACACAAAATACCATCCGAACTTCAGAGTGTCAGTCGAACAGCCAACGAGCTGATTCTTCCTACACTACCATCATCATATGTAAATCATCATGAGACCACCATCTGAAACGTGCTGACGCCCACCACTGCCCACCTCTCATCAGTCTGTAGACAAGTTATTTTTATTAGCTTAGTAGTAAATGAATGTTAGAATCTTAGAAGCAAAAAATTATAAAATGGAAATAATGGCAAATAAATAATATTTGAAAATAATAAAGAGAGTAAAATGTAAAAAAAACTTAGTACCGTCGTCCATTCGACAAAGGCAAAATGATGAGTGCCTTCCGTTTCCTGCGTTGTCCTCCAAAACTGGTGCCAGTCCTCCTCGAGATTGTTGTTGAAACACAGCCCGTGGAATGGAGAAAGAGAAAATTCTCATTAGAAAGCTTAGCGGTGCCTGCATCTTAAATTGCTTAATAAAAATAAACCTATCTACCTATTCAATTACCTTAACTAATCTATAATAAATTGTTAATGGTACGATAGTCGAAAGTTCCCCTTCATTCTCCCTCCTTGCACAGAGGTTCACCGACATCCAGGGCACCGGATAGTAAACCATTGCCGTGCTGATAGTAGACTACTGCCTTGCGGATAGTAAACCATTTACCGTCCGGAAGCCGTGCGGGTAGTAGACTATGGCCATGCCGCATAGTAAATCATTACCGTGCAGATAGTAAACCATTGCCGTCCGGATAGTAAACCATTGCCGGTTCACCACTGGCCGCCAAGGCTTACCTCTGACAAGAGACTTCGAAATTCAGAGTCTATCGGCTATCGTACCCTCAACTTACCTATTCATTACAATTAAGCCCTAGCTTACCTAAAATTACAAAAAAACTCAAGAGTCCAATTCATTTGCCAATCGGCACCCACCCCACCACCTACGTAATGCCTTGGGCTTCAACTTAGTAATAATATAAAACTTAAACCCTAAATCTATTAATGAGTGTGTGTTACAACGTAGCCTTAACTTACCTATTCATAACATTATGGCCCTAGCTTACCTAAAATTACAAAACTCAAGAGCCCAATTCATTGGCCTTTCGGCACCCACCCCACCACCTACGTAATGCCTTGGGCTCCAACCTAATAATAATAATGTAAAACTTAATAACTAACTTACCTCTCGATACACTTACAGCATTTATTTAATTTAAATTAAAAGATTGTTCCTAGAATTAAATTATTGCTTTTAACTACCTATGAAATTAAATTACTCTCAACCTTAGTAATAATAAATTAGAATGTGTAATGAAAAAATATAACGCTCAAATACTAATATGTGTTTATGTATGTATTTGTGTGTGTGTGTATAATACGCTGATGCGTGTAATGTGGGTGCGAGAAAAAATAGAAGAGATAAACTTACACTGCCTACCTATTCAACTACATTAGTGTTGGATGCTTCCAATCTATCCTACCTGCAATTAAAATTATACCTATCTAACCTACCTATATAGCTACTTAATGTAATTGTGTGTATGTGCGTGTGAGCATACTTACTTAATGTTAAATTACAGAAAAAAACTGAGAAAAAAGAATAAAACGTATCCCAGCCAGGCGTATCTTCTTTGCCACTGAATGAACGAACGTAGCCTGACATCTTCCACGATGAATTCCTTTGGAAGCTTCAACCTGAATAAAATGGATGAAATGGAAAAATCTTATTTATTTGACTAATTTAAATGAAAATAGAAAAACTGGCAAAAAAAAGAACCTCAAAGAAACCGTAAAACCTACCCCAGCAGGGCGTGCATTCTTTGCCACCGAATGAACGAACGTAGCGTGACATCACAATCATTCTGGTCGTCCACGATGAACTCCTCTGGAAGCTTCAACCTGGATAAATGAACCTGAAAAACCTAAATGAATGGAAAAATCTTATTTATTCAATTTAAATGAAAATAACCGAAAAGAAACTGACCGGTCGGCAAAGAAAAGAGAAAAG